GTGTGTGTGTGTGTGTGTGTGTGTGTGTGTGTGTGTGTGTTATTGTGTTGTGTGTCTTTATCCTCTGTGCTCTCATTCACACTCTGTCTGTCTGTGTTGTGTAGTTCTCTTATGTGGATGTGGATGGAAACCCCGTTCATATCGTGCAGCTGGGCTTCCTGAAGCTCTTGAGCGCCACGGCTCACCAGAGCTTCACATACGTGTGTCAGAACTCGGCCGGTTGGTTCGACAGCACCTCCCTCAGCTACAGACACGCGCTGCGCTTCAGAGGCAGCAACGGAGAGGAGCTGACGCAGCAGAGCGCGCATTACATCCAGCCTACACTCGACGGCTGTCAGGTACACGCTCACCTCACTCCATACCTTCAGTTCACAGGACCGACTCTGTGAATCCTGGACCAGTTCACATGAGTGACTCAGTGAATCCTGGACCAGTTCACATGAGTGACTCAGGGGTCTCCAAACTCGGTCCTGGAGGGCCGGTGTCCTGCAGAGTTTAGCTCCAACCCTAATTAAACACACCTGAACCAACTAATCAAGGTCCTACTAGGCATGCTAGATACTTCCAGTCAGGTGTGTTGAGGCAAGTTGGAGCTAAACTCTGCAGGACACCGGCCCTCCAGAACCGAGTTTGGAGACCCCTGGTATAGGCGTTTCGTCCAGACGGATTCGGCGTTTTGGGAGAGTGAAACCTATATTTTTTTAAACCGGGTCCCAGAGTGGATAAATCTGAAAGCGCCACCCTTGCGTTTTCGTGTGGACAGCGAATCCGTATATTTTCTGAAACGATGACGTCATCAGCCCACGTCTCGCCGCTAGTCAGACACCGCTACATCACTTAACAGCAACAAAAACATGAACAAACACGGAACGATTGTCTTTTTATAAACTAACATTAACACAGATTAATAAATGCATTGTTCCATGTTCATTTGTATACCGTGCGCAAGGTTTATGCGCATAGTCCAAGTCTTCTTCTCCGTTTTTAGTGTATCTCTGTGGCAGAATTACAGCGCCACATGCTGGTCTGGCATGTATACTACATCGTTTTGTGTCGTTTTGTGGTTTCGTGTGGACGCAGATATTTCTTGAGACGAGGGGAAAAAAAAGATCGGATAGGGAAAGCCCTGGCTTCGTGTGGACGTAGCCTGAGTGAATCCTGAATCAGTTAACATACATGACTCAGTGAATCCTGAATCAGTTCACATACATGACTCAGTGAATCCTGAATCACTAAACATACATGACTCAGTGAATCCTGAATCAGTTTACATACATGACTCAGTGAATCCTGAATCAGTTAATATACATGACTCAGTGAATCCTGAATCAGTTAACATACATGACTCAGCAAATCCTGGATCAGTTCACATGAACGACTCAGTGAATCCTGAATATGTTCACATGAGTGACTCAATAAATCTTGAATAAGTTCACATAAATGTCATGTGTTGATCACAGCGTCGTGTGGTGTGTTTCTCTGTGTGTGCAGTCGCGCTCGGGGCAGGACCGCACCGTTCTGGAGGTGGACTCTCCGCAGTCGGACGCTCTGCCTCTCGTGGACGTGGCCGTGACGGATTTCGGGAGCGTGAAACAGAAGTTTGGCTTCAGCGTGGGGAAGGTTTGCTTCAACGGCTAGTCAAGAACAGACTTTGACAGTGTATATATTTATACATCAGTCCTTCAGCTGCTTGCGTTTGTCTGAGAACAGGAAGTGGTGCTTGAAGGGCGATCATGTGACATGATGACACGCATCCAGACGCTCTTGTGTTCGGCTGTTTACAGAGATCAGACCTCACAGAGATTCACAGTTATTTTGTATTATTGTTTGAAAGATGTCGATGTATTTTTGTATTTGTTTGTATGAATGTTTCGTAATCTTGGTGCTACATGAGGCTGTATTTTAACTTGTTTACATGATGTAATGAGTCAAACTGGCAGTGCATTGTGGGAAAAGACATGGCCGCAGCTCCATCCAGCGGGTCGGGAGTCGTACGGACGTCGGGATGGGGATTTAGATGTCCACCGGTTTGTTTTTAGTGTTGAATATGGATGGAGATTCTCTGACTGTGGTTTTGATAAGTACTGTTTGAGAGGAGAGATTTATAAATAAAACTATTACTTAATAAAACCACCCGGTTTAGAACGAGTGATTTACACTGATTCACACAGATCAGCTCAAGATTTAGTGAATGATTCAGAATGTGTGATTCATCTGATAGAAAGAGCAATTAAATATATTTAGTTTTATGAAATGTGCTTTTTATGTGAGTTTCTCATGAAAACACATCCAGGTCAAATTTTATGCCAAAAAATATCATTTTATTTAAAATATATAAAATTGTTATTTTCACATTATTTTTATGCTAGTGAAACACATTTACACCTCAAAAGTCTCATTATTCTCTGATGATTTTCAGATTGTTTAGGCTTTATTTTTTATTTTATTTTTATATTTAATTTAATTTTATATTTTTATATTTTTTACAATTTTATTTTAGTGCCAGAATGCTTATGGGAATTCCTGTGTCTTTCCTGAGAGACACACCTTCCCATCTCTCCCACCCTGCTGGTCTCTCTCTCTCTCTCTCTGTAGGTTTAGTATCGTGAGACGTTCGTCTGCTGCTGTTCTCTGTTCCGGTCAGCAGTGAATCGGGACGTTTGGACTCCACTCATCTTCATCAGATTGATTTATGATCTGGGTTTGAGTTTGTCTGGGATCCACCTGTGGTTTCTGAGTTGATTTAACAAACTTTCCTCTTTGAAAGGACTGCGGGTCTTGTGTACGGTGAGCTCGAGCGGTGGGAAATGAGTGCTCCTCTGCTGAAGGTCGGTGCGGTTCTGAGCACCATGATCTTGGTCACTAACTGGATGTCCCAGACGCTGCCGGGGCTGGTGGGACTCGATCCGCACATCGCTCGGCCCGGAACCTCCGAGAAGATCATCAGCGTACGTACAAGCATTACTCTGTGTGTGTGAGTCAAATGTGTGTTTGTGCTGTAGCTTGTGGGTTTGTGTCAGTCTGTTAACATGAGGTGTAATTCTGAACCGGGAACAAACAAACTCAGTGACACACACGAACACTCCCACACACACAGTGTGGCACTTCCTCTGAGAACTGGAGATCTGCCACTCGCGGCCGGCCAGGACCTGGCATCGCCACGGCAACCTCACAGCACCAGCCAGCCAATCAGAGATACACAGAAACCTCACAGCACCAGCCAGCCAATCAGAGGCCTGCAGAAAAACACACTCTGCACCAATCAGCCCATCAGAGGCAGCACAAAACACACGCTCAGCACCCATCAGCCAATCAGAGACGCATGGCAACCTCACAGCACCAGCCAGCCAATCAGAGGCCGCAGAAAAACACACTCTGCACCAATCAGCCAATCAGAGACGCACGTTGACCTCAAAAGTTGGCAGTGAGATATATTAGGCTTGTTTGAGATTATCAAAATCTGCACAGAACCGATCACCGGCGATCACCGCGACATGCATGCCGGTTAGAAAAGTGTCCGAGTTATGTCCGACTTGCTCTGATGTCACGCTGACGTGTGCCAAAAAAACTCTGGCGAGGCGGCTGTGTCGGATTGCACTCCACCGACTGCGCTGACCAAAAGCATGATGGGAAACGACTGGCTGACGACACCGCTTAATGCTCGTTGGTTCAGACAACCGTGATGCTGCGTTCTCCCTCACAGCCCCAGCCAGCCAATCAGAGATACACAGAAACCTCACAGCACCAGCCAGCCAATCAGAGGCCTGCAGAAAAACACACTCTGCACCAATCAGCCCATCAGAGGCAGCACAAAACACACGCTCAGCACCCATCAGCCAATCAGAGACGCATGGCAACCTCACAGCACCAGCCAGCCAATCAGAGGCCGCAGAAAAACACACTCTGCACCAATCAGCCAATCAGAGACGCACGTTGACCTCAAAAGTTGGCAGTGAGATATATTAGGCTTGTTTGAGATTATCAAAATCTGCACAGAACCGATCACCGGCGATCACCGCGACATGCATGCCGGTTAGAAAAGTGTCCGAGTTACGTCCGACTTGCTCTGATGTCACGCTGACGTGTGCCAAAAAAACTCTGGCGAGGCGGCTGTGTCGGATTGCACTCCACCGACTGCGCTGACCAAAAGCATGATGGGAAACGACTGGCTGACGACACCGCTTAATGCTCGTTGGTTCAGACAACCGTGATGCTGCGTTCTCCTCTAAAATGTTTAGGCGAGGCGCATCTCAAACAAGCCTAATGACTCCAAACACAAATAGTGAGTGTTTTCAGACAGGTTTCCCTGAACACTTCCCCGTCTGTCATTGGTCAGTCCTACAGATAGTCCCGCCTTACAGGATTGGTTGAGTCAGATGTTTACATGTCGGGCCACTCGAACACAGATCAGTGTAGTGAAAGCATCACTTTTCAGGAATTAAATGAGCAGTGACTGTGAGTCTGAACATTAAACTCTGAACAGCAGCACTAATACTGACTGACTGAAGTAATGAATATCGGTGCGAAGGAGGTCAGTCTAGTGATCAGCTTTTACGCTGAAGGTCAAACACACTGGCTTTCGTTTACTAACTGTACAGCGTCAGAGTGTTTGTGTGTGTGTGTGTGTGTGTCCGCGGGATGTGGGCTCGCTCTGTGTGTGAGTGTGTTTGTGTTTCATACGCCGCTGTGACACACACATGGAGACTCACA